TAGAAAATGCACATATGTACATACATGTATACATGTATGGATATAAATATATGCACGTGTGGTTATAAATATATACACATATATGGATATAAATACACATTTATTAGGGAGATATGAACAAGGTGCTATAGGAGTTCAAAGGAAAGAGTGGTTTAAAGTGGTAAGCATCAAGATGGGTCAAACTTAATGAAGGAGATACCATTTGAAGGATAAATAAGATTTCCACAGTTGTGGATGACAGATATCTAAGATAAGTAATGAGATAGAAAGAGAGCAGCTAGATCAGGGTGTCTTAATTTTTTTGTGTGTCATGGACATCTCTGACAGTCTGATGAAGCCTATGATCCCTTCTCATAATAATGTTTTAAAATACATAAAATTAAAAAAAATAGGATTATAAAGGAAACAAAAATTATATTGAAATGCAGTTATCAAAATATTAATAAAACAAGGTCATGGACCTCTCCTTAAGAACCTCTGATTTAGAAGTCTTTGTTGACTTCAAGTCACCTGTCCCAGAAGAACTACATCTTCAGGTGCTGAAAGATCAGATGCGATTGCTGAGTCACTATCAGTGATGTTGAAAAGAACAGGAAAAATAAGAGAAGTGCCATATGATTAAGTAATGGCAAGTGTTGTCTCAATTTTCAAAAAAGAGAAGAAATCAGAGTCTGCAAATTACAGGCTTGTGAGCTTGACTTTGATTCTACGACGGATCATTAAAGAAATGAAGTAGTGATTACAAAGAATTTTATCAAGAACAGATCACGTCAGACTATCCTCATTTCTTTTTTTTTGACAGGATTTCTAAACTAGTAGATGAGGGGAATGTTGTGAATGTATTCTACTTAGATTTTAGCAAAGTTTTTTGATAAATTATCTCATACTATTCTTGTGAAGAAGATAGAAAGATAGTATCACTAGATACTCAAGTGCAGCCCTTTGACTGAATCCAAACTTCACAGAACAAATCCCCTTAATAAAAGAATTTGTTCTGTTAAACTTAGAGTCAGTCAAAAGGCTGCAACCAAGGACCTAGAAGGCCACAGGCGGCCTTGAGGCCCCAGGTTCCCCACCCCTAGATTAGACCATAACAAAGTTAGAGAACTCAGAACTGTTCAATTTCAAAGTAACAGGATGTCTTCATTGGAGAACACCAGGGATCTATTATTAGCCTTGTGCTATTTAACTTTATTATCAATAACTTGATAAAAGCATAGATGTAATCCTCATCAAATGTGCAGATGTCACAAAGATGGGTAGCAAACACACTGGCTGGTATGGTCAGCATCCAAAAGGATCTTGACAGGTTACAGCTTTGGACTGAATCTAGTAAGATGAAATTCAGTAAGAATAAATATGCACTTGTTGACCTGACAAGCCTGGGATGGGGTGAGGTATGATTAGACAGTAGTAGTTTGTTTGAAAAAGATCTGGGTTTTTCAGTGGACTACTAGCTCAATATGAGTCAGTACTGTAGAATAGTAGTAAAAAAAGCTAATTGTGATTTTGGGTTGCATTGAGAGAGGCATAACTTCAAGGGACAAGGAGATGATAGTCCCTCTGTATTCTGCCCTTGTCAGATCACATTTGTAATAGTGTGTTCATTTCTGGGTGCTATAGTTTAAGGAAGATGTTAGAAAACTAGACTATTCAGAGGAGGGCAACGAGGATGATGAAGGTCTTTGAGTCTATATCATGAAGGAACTGAAGATGTTTAGTTTAGAGAAGATTTAGAGGGAACATGATAGCTGTGGTCAAATACTAACAGACTGTCATGTTACGGATCAGACTTGTTCAGTTTGACTCCAGAGGACAAAACTCGGAACAATGGGGGAAAATAGCAGAGGCAAATTTAGGACTGACATCAAGAAAAACTTCCCAACCATTAGAACTGTCCAAAAGTGGGATCACCTCTAGAGGTGATAGATATGATATCCCCTCCTTAGAAGCTTTCAACCAGATCATATATTGAGTATATTATAATAGAGACTCCTTTCATGTCTAGGTGAGACTAGATGGCCACAGGTCTCTTCCAACAATCAAATTCTGTAATTGTGTGTTGAGGGTAGGGGGATGGTTTGCAGTGGAGAAGAGATGGATGGCAGACAAGCAACATCATGAACAAGGGTAACAAGGCTGAAAAGTGCTGAATATCTTCTGGGAATAGTCTTGTTCACATAAAGGATATATATACAAAGTAGAGAGAGATAAAGCTGGAATACTATTATAGTGTCAAAGGAGGTTAGAATTGAAAGTGACCTTAGAGACAATTTAATCTTTTTGCTCTCTAACTGATAAAACCGAGAGTTGAAGTGAAAAGTCCAATACCACACAACAAAGGTAAGGTTGGGCCAGAACATCAAAGGCATTGAATGCCGGGCCAAGGAATTTAATTACTAAATGGGCAATGGGAAATATTTAAGTTTTTGAGCATGGAAGTTACATGATCATTCTGGCAATCACATTCAGGATAGCTTCAAGAAGGGAGGAGAATGGAGACAGGAAGTCTAAGAAGCTAATGCAATAGCGAGAGTTGAGAGATAATGAAGGCCTGAAATGAGGTAGTGACAATTGCAATGAAAAATTCTGCTTCTTGAGAGCCTCAGGAGACAGGCACTTTTGCTTTTTGCTGGATTTTTGTTTTTTCTTTGCATCTGCCTAAGGCCAGAATTAATGAGAAAAATTTCACTGCTGGGAACTGATAGTGTCTTCTTCATAATCAACCTCAGGAAAAAGGGATTTGAATTGTAGAATTAGGATGTCAGAAAGGTGAATTCAGTTAACTAGTATTTATTAAGTGCCTATTATGTACCAAGCTGTGCTAATTGATGATACAAAATAAGGGAAAAGACAATTCTTGATCTCAAAGAGTTTACAGTCTAATGCTGGAGACAACATGTAAATAACTAAGTACAAACAAGCTACATACAAGATAAATTGGAGAAAATCAACAGAGGGAAAGCATTAGTAATAATTGAATTGTAGATTCAGGATGTCAGAAGGGCTCCTTACCCAGATGAGGTATAAATTTGACTTCTCTTATCACTGCAGTGGTTTGGAGAAAAGGCAGGAACTTGGGGGTGTGGTCAGGGTTTTACTTCCCACAGGCTAGAAGCTGTGGAACTTAAAAGTTCAGAGCTATCAAGCAATGACAAGGGACTTTTTATGGAGGGAGAGTTAACTCCTTTTTCAAAAACCTTCCCAACCAAACCACTTGAGAATAAGATGAATCAGTGAAGTGGCAGAATATATCAGCTCAGGGAAATAAGGCATTTCTGCTCCACAGCTGAAGGAACTGAGGATGCTTAGATTTCAGAAGACACTGGAGATATGGCAAAAAAACTAAGAGTGGAGAGTGGTATAATGGAAAGAGCACTGGATTTGATGTAAGAGGGTTTGGATTTTAATTCTGGCTATGCTTAGTACCACTATGATTTTAGGAAAGTCGCTTAACTTTTCTGAGAAATTTCCTCACCTCTAAAATAAGGATGTCAGACTATATCTCGAGAGTAAGGTCTCTTTCAGTATTAAATCCTATGAACTGTTTACAAGTATTTGAAAGTGGAACAAGAATTAGGTTTATTCTACTTGGCCCCAGAAAGCAGATGCAATGTGTATAACCTGCATATAAACTCCAAGTAAAGAAAAACAGACATCTCCAAAAGTGGAATGGGGAGATAAGAGGTAATTTTTCTTCCAGTAGAGTACCTCATGTTCCAGTAGGAATACACCATGCCTTAGGTCCTTTCATATTCTGAGGCTCTATGGGCAGGCAAAGGGCTCCAAATGCAGATGTTTAAAACTAGAACTGCTGCTTTCACATTATGTAGGCAAGGTCTTCACATCACATGCAAGAAGTAGAGGAAGAGAATCTTGCTTAAAGCAGAAATTCAATTCCAGGAAAAAGAACACAATGTCCCAAACCCAAAAGAGGAACTGTGTTGTTTTTGTGCGTGGGGGGCGGGGGTGCATGGAGAAGATGGTGAAGAGCACTGTCCCTGAATGTGTCACCTCTTTTTAGGGGCCCCAAAGGGTTTGCCGGGTAAATGATTCCATCCCACAATAATAATAATAATAATACAATATGGTGGTGGGATTGCTTATCATTTACCTCTCCAACACACAACTCAAGACCCCAAGGAGAAAGTGTCAAGACTCCAACCAGGGGAGTTGGGACCCCTAGGTCTAAGACCCCTCCATTCCCTTAAGCGAATTACCCACATAAAACATGGTGGCCTCAGCTTCCCGCCTGCCTTCTGCGCATGCTCACTCTCCACCCACCCACCAGCTAGGGTCACCCTACCAGCCCCGCCCCGCCCCGCCCCGCCCCGCCCCCCTCCGGCCCAGAATGTGGGGCGTGACTTAATGACGGCCCCCACCGCCAACGTCTTTCCTTCCTCTTATCTACCCCTGCCTCCGCCCTCCCCACTTCTGTGGGATTAACTTCCCCAATACTGGTGCGAGGAGAAGGCAATGGGGGCCGCTGACAATCCCTCTAAATGAGGCACTCCCCTTCCCAGTTCTCTATCTTCCTCCAATGTCCTGTCAGTGTGTCCGTTTTACGGTCCCAGCGCGCGCGTACGCGATGCCTCCCTTCCCCGGCCTGGGAACGCGCGCGAGCGCGCCGGAAGCTTGTGCTCAGCCTCGGGGTGGAGCAAAGCCGGGACGGGGGACGGTGAGGTGGGGGTGGTGTGTGTGCACGCGCTCCCCCCCTCGGCGACGCCTTCGCCTAACCCCTCTTTAAAGGGACGCGCGCGCCCGCGTTGGCACGCGCGCTCCTGCCGTCCCCACCCCTTCCGCGCACCGCCCCCTACCCGCCCCTCAGGGCCAGCGCTCCGCCCTGGCCCCGAGAGCCGGTGGCGGCGGCCGGCTGAGAGAGGCTCCGCCTCCGGTCCCCTCCCTCTTTCCTTCCTCCCTCCTTCCCTCCCTTCTTCCTTCCTTCTTTCCTTCCCTCTCGCTCGGTGCCGGGTTCCCGGGTGGGTTCCCCCCGCTGCCCCGAGCCTCCCCGGGCCATGGCCGGCAACGTGAAGAAGGGCGCCGGGGCCGGGGGCAGCGGCGGCTCCGGGGGCTCGGGCTCGGGCGGCCTGATCGGGCTCATGAAGGACGCCTTCCAGCCGCACCACCACCACCACCACCTCAGCCCCCACCCGCCGGGAGCCGTGGACAAGAAGATGGTGGAGAAGTGCTGGAAGCTCATGGACAAGGTGAGGGGGCTCGGGCCGAGGGCGGGGGAGGGGCGGTGGCGAGGGTGGGGGAGGGGCCGGGGGCTGCGGAGGCCGGCGCAGCTGGTACCCCGGGGCTGGGCGGGGGTCGGGGGCTGCGAGCCGGGGCCATGGGGCGGCGGCGGGGGTCGAAGGGCCGGGGCTCGGGGCTTTGACTTGGAGCTGGAGAGGTAGAGCAAAGGTTTCTCAGGAAGCCTGGAGAGAGGAAGTCTCCGGGGAGCGGGTCAGGGCATCCAGAGTAGATGGGGCTGCAAAAACAGAGTAGGTGGATGTGTGGGCAGGGTCACGAAAAGGGTTTGGGGCGGGGGGGGGGGACAGTTGTAAGGAGAAGGTCAGGGGGAATTTGATTTACTAGGAACCTGAAGAGTCTTTGGATCATCAGGGTATGGGTATGAACTATGATTTACTTAGACCTGGGGTTTGTTGTTAAAATGTGCCAAGCGTTGGTGAGTTTTGTTTTTGTTTTTGCCTTTTCATTATGGTACAGCATATGGTTTTCCTTGTATTTTAATAGACTAAGGTGAAGGAAATTGGGTTGTGAGGTGCTTAGTGGGTGCTGGGAAGGAACTTTATTCTCTGGATATATCAAATGACTTAAGTTTGACTTTAAAATCACTTTTTTATTTTTTCTGTGGAATATTACATATGCTGGTATTTATAGACTGAATTGATTTGTAGGCTGATTTAACCAGTTTCTGGTCCAGTGCATCATCTCCGGGGAGATGAATTGAGAGAGAAAGCTAAGCTGCATACCCCTTCTAACCTAACTTTTTTTCTGGCTCCTTTTGGCTAGTCATTAGACTCTTAGGCCTTGCTGCCAATTTAATTTGATTAGCGGTACAACCTAAGGAAACTTTTTCGTTCACAAATGATGGAAAATAATTCATGAACTCTCCTGTATTTAGCCACTTTTAAGTTTAGTGATCAATCTTTACTCAAATCAAGTCTTTAATAAGAAAAATAATACAGATATCCAAGATACTTGAAACAATGTTAAACCAATGTAGATTATCAGGGAGAATTCAACACGACTTATTATATTGTGTTTCTCTCCCCCAACCCCCACATATTTAGTGATTGACTTTGGTAACTTTATATATATTTCTAGTCACTTGAAGAAGGTGGAAGTGAACAACTGTTATAATATAGACAGTGGTGTTATTTCCTCTAGTAATTGTCACAATGTAGACAGTTGGTATTTCCTGTAGTGTAGAAGAGGTTGTGGTGATTCTTTACATGTCACTTAACTTCTTTGTGCTTTGGTTCCTCATTTGTAAAATTCTTACTGGGTTGGTTTGAAAAAACAGCTAGTGATAAAGGTGTGATATAAGTACTTAATAAGCCCTTTATTATTAATTAATTTCTGTTTTTTTAATCATTGATTTAAAAATCATTCCACAAAGTTTTCAGTGCTGTATTTGCTCGTCTATGATACATATATCTGTGTGATATAGATCATATGCACAGTGGCCAGAGTGGTTGCTCTCTCTGTTCCTTGCAAGGTCTAGCTTACTGGTGCTAAATGTTAATTTCATTTTTAGTCATTGGGGTAATAAATATTCTATAAAAAGTTAGCTGCAAAAGACCTCTTGAAATTATTTGATTTTTCTTGACTTTGAATATTTACTGTTCTTTCAATCTGAAGTGCTTGTAGCTTAGATTTTATAATGAAGGTTGAAGGTTTTTAGAAAAGTTTGAATTTCAAATTAGTAACCTTCATCAGAGGATGGGGTGTACTATATATAAAATTGTACAGATGGAGACTTTTCCTCAGAACAATAAAGTTCTCTCAGACTTCCTTATTTTCCTAGAAATCCAGGTATGTATATGTTCTGCTAAGTTATCTTTTAATAGCTTCATCAACCCTTTTCCTAGTTTGGATATATTGAATTTTTATTCTGCAGAAAGTTTGTAGCCATTTGCATCAGAATAGTATCAACTTTTGGAGTTTTAGGAGATTTTTTCCACTCTTCTCATTTTTCCAGGAGGGTCACATTATGTGATCTATCTACATTCCACAGCATATGTGTTTGACAGAATTGAAGTGAAAACTCACTTCCACTTTAAAAGGTGTTGATCAGTCAGTCCTGAGACCAAATTTGTCTTCTGTATTTTATGTACACAGGGAAGGGGAGAAGGAAGGGAAGGAAAGAGAATAAGCATTCATGTAGCATTTACTGTGTGCCAGGCACTGTGCTAAATGCTTTAAAAATATCATCTCATTTGATCCTCACAACAACTCTTCGAGGTAGGTGCCTTTATTATTCCCATTTTACAGTCGAGGAAACTGAGGCAAACAGACTTGCCCAGGATCACACAGGTAGTAAGTATCTAAGGCTGGATTTAAACTCATGTTTTCCTGATTCTAGGTCTTGTACTCTATCCACTGTGCCACCTACCTGTCTCTACACAACCCCTACCCTGCCGCACCCAGTCTAAAATTAAATAGAAAATCTTCTTCGGGAGAATGGAGTTCTGCAGTGGCTTGGTTACTGGGTAATAGGATCATCAGGCAGGGAGTTTTCTGTTGTTCCAATCCAAATTGCTGTTGAATGAATTTATGTACAGCTTCCTGTTCCCCCCAAAGTGGAAGTTGCATGACATTTCTTTTAGGGGGAAAGGACTTAATTATAAAGTAGACAACATGAAAAGTGCTAGTGGGAAAGGTTATTTAAGTTGACTTAAGTTCACAAATAAAGTATGCATGACCAATTATCAACAATCCTGAGACTGATTGACCCGATAAATTTATAAGGTGTATGGATGTGTGCTGGAAGCAATGGGCTTTGAGCCCTTAGTTACAAAAATAAAATCAATTATTAAGTATTTACAATGATTTAAACCCTGCTGATGCAGAGATAGGTTAAAAACAGTCTCTTTTCTTTAAGGAGCTCATATTCTAATGAGGGAGACAACGTGAAAATGACTAGGTGTATACAGAGTACATAGGAGGTTATCTCAGAAGGGGAGGCGGTGGTAGCTAGAAAGGCTCCTGTAGAAGGTTAGGGTTTGAACTGAGATTTGAAGGAAGTGGGTGGGGGAAGTCAGGAGGTAGAGGTGAGTAATGAAGAGCTTTCTACAGTTGAGGGACAGCCATTGAGAAGGCACAGAGTTGGAGATGGAATGTCTTGTTGGAAGAACAAGAAGGTCACATAGCTAGATTGTACGGTATGTGGAAATAACTAAAGTGTAAGGAGGCTGGAAAGGTAGGAAGGGGGTCAGGTCAAGGACTCTTGAAGGGAGAGAAAGAATACTTGAGTCAAGAAAGTAGCAATTCAAGTATTGTAGTTTTGCCTAGTGTAATTGAAAATTTCTTTGTTGTAACACCTTGCTGTACTTTAGGGTCATCAATATTCCTTTTACAATACTGTAATTTTAGATCATGTGGGAGAATGAGACTGTAGGACATACCATGGGAGTTACTGGTTTTCTTTCTAATAAATCTCTGGTATGAGAAGGGTTTGGGGTTGTTAAATACAAAATAATCACAGTTAATTGAGGATTCTGGTTAGCTGAGTGCCAGTTAATCAAGGTTTTATTTGACATTTGTTCTTGGGTTTATAATTTTCAATAAATAAATGGCTCCAAAATATATGGTGTTTTGGAAGTATTAGCCTCCCTTGTTCACATCAAATTGTATTACAGCAGGTAGTACATGTATATCTTTCACCAGAAAACCTCAAATTCTGAACTCAGAATTCTTGGGTGGTCATGGTGTCTATCACTTCATTGAAGAGTACAGTAACTTAGTTTCTACCCTTTTAAAAAAAATCCCTTTTGCTGTATTAACAGAAATTTTCACCCTATTATATATTTTAACAAGTCTCAATATTAATTACCACAATACTTTAACAGGCTCTCCAACCAGGTTTTTGAGAGCTGACAGGCCCAAATTGGGGTTGAGGGTGTTGAGAGTCTTATCAGCTAAGTAAATATTAAGCTTCTTAAAAGGAAGGAAGTTAAGGGCAACAGTCACAATATACTGATTTACTATTTTTTTTGAGGGATATTACTCAATTGTTAGACAACTACTTTTCTGAACCCCAAACCTACAGTGCTTCACAGAGTTTGGAGGATTCGGTCCTTAGCTTTGTACCTCCCTCTTTTCTTCTTTCCTTCCTCCCTCCCTTCTCTGCTTCCCTCATTTCTCTCCCTCCCTCCCTCTTTACCCCCTTCCCTGCCTTCTTCCTTCCTTCCATAGTAATTATTGATCACCTGTTCTGTGTGAGGCATCAAGCTAGATTCTGTGGGAGATAGAAAAATAAGGCATATCCCTGTTCTCATGGAGCTTTACCACTCCTGAGAAGAAGGACATATACAATCAATAACTGTGCTATACAGAATAGAATGTGAAACTGGAGTACAAGCAGTACAAAGTACTGTAGTTCAGAGGAGAGATACCATTTCCGCTTGAGGGGAGGGTTTCACAGGTGTTACTGGCTGGAGAAATATGCTACTAAAAGAAGAACCAGATACTTCAATTGATATAAAGGGGAAGGCTAAGAAAGATAAATGAATTGCTTTGGATTAGAAGTATTAATTCAATTTGAGTTAGTGATAAGCTTAATATTCAAGCATTTTCATTGGAATTGCTACCTCTTCAGTGGGAATAATAGGCAGGCTGTGTAGAACAGATTATTATTTTGTCAAAGTTTTTGGTACTGTGCTTAAAAAAGTTTTATCAGGAGTACAGAATTCCTTTTTAATATGTTGATTTATCATTTCTAGTTGACAATGAAGTTTATTGTAAAGTTTTCCACTAAACTTTTTTTTCTTTTTTTTGGCTAGGCAGTGGGGTTAAGTGATTTGCCTGGGGTCACACAGCTTATAAGTATCAAGTGTCTGAGGTTGGATTTGAACTCAGGTCCTCCTGACTCTAGGGCTGGTGCTGTATCCACTGGGCCACCTAGCTGCCCCACCACTAAACATTTTTAAAAGGCCCACTGTTTTGCATGCCACTACATTACTATCATGTGGCATGT